GCATACTTTCTAATTCGATTTCCCTTTCTGAACGAAAAACATCACCTACCTCCATTTCATTAATTTGAGGCTCTAATATTTCAGAGACTTCACTCTGAATTGCAGGCTCAGTTTTTTTGCGTCTACATTCCCAACAAACTTTAACGGTATCAGGAAGATCAGGGAATTTTCGTTTCATTGCGACAGACATTTTCCTTAAATCTTTGCCTTTGTGATTCAAGACACCAAAAGCTTCGTAAGGGTTGCTACATCTGTCGCCATGCAAGTTGCTCTTACTTTCCATCGTAATCAGAAAATCTCACAAAAATTTCAGAAGTCAATTATTTTTCAGAAGTAAATATATTTTATACGTTAGCGGATGGCAATTGTTTACCTCACTGGTGGCAAGGATTTGCCCTTTTCGGCTTGATTCCGGCGCGCTTCCCCCACCACCGCTCGGCCGAGCCGCCGGGCGCTCTGACTCAGTGGCGCCGCTTACCAGAAATATACTGGGAGCGCCCCTTCCGCCTTTATTATTAAAATGTTAAAATTATTATCGTAATGTTTTTTATTAAATAATTCATATAATTATATCATTTATTTAATAATCATATTATATTAAATAATTGATATTTATATTAAATAATCTATTAACACAAAATTTTCTATTATTAATTTATTCATTGTTCCTTAATGAAATACTTATATCTTAAATAATTCCTAATACGTTTTGAACATTGAAAATTTGATGTCAGATTCGTGTTTAGCGACCTTAAAAACTCCTGAGTGACAAGTTTCAAGTGAATTCAAGCACTTTTTTTATACTTCTTCCACCATATTGGATCCGCCATCTTGAATTTTTTATTTTGCCACTTTGCATTTTAAAGTAGATGTAATTACCTAAATTTTAAGCCTTAGTAGAACTCTTTTCGTTTAAACCAATTCTGGGGGTGGGGGGTCTTTCGTTGACGTGGAATGCCCCATATATATATATACGTTTATAAATACGTATATAAAATATGTTTATAAATACGTACATGAAATGGGATGGGTTGCGGACATGTCCACGGATTATATACGTTTATCATATACGTTTCTTACACGTACAATACGTATGGTTATAACTATTTTTATACGTTTCTTATACAATTGAGTGTTTATTGGGCGGAAAGGAGTATTTTTCAATAAGTAAGTTAATTCGTTTTTATACTAAATTCGATTGGAGGCAAAACACACACACACATACACACAATCGTTGATAAGTTTAGGAACTCTTACGATTATGGTATACCTAGGATAGATAGAACATTAATGTACTTTTTGTCCTTTACAGTTTTATGTGAATGAATAATAATTTATTTTTATATGATAAATAGTTGGAAACAAGTACGTTTCTCTTGTATTTCTGTAACTTTTATATACGCTATATCTTGATGAAACAGGTGGCTCTTTAATAATTCGAATTACCATAGAAATGTCTAATTTCTTTATATAATGAAGTTGAAAGTACAGAAATTGACGTGTGCAAAATTCTGCGGTAGAACGATCAAATAAAAGAGAGAAAAAAATGTTGAAAATGAAACCTTTCACGTAACTTATTATTAATGACAGATAAGGCTCGCATATGCTTCTTTGATTAACTGCACACAAATCTTACCATAGACTTTTCTAAACAAGAAAACGAGATTACAATAGTTAAAAAAATTACGATTATATCACAAAAAAGTAATAGATCAACGGCCATTCTCTAGAAATATTTACGTGCTTTAAAATATAAACTTGCTTTAACCTTGAAAAGTAAACGTAATCTCGTCTTCTTTTCATTTGATAAAGATGCTCTTGATTTATTATCGTATGTTACATACTATTTCGAATATACACGTAGTTTTAATATTTTGTCCAAATTATGTATACAGCAGATATTTGTAATTTTGGATGAGCCCTGGTGAGGCACCCCAAATTTTCGGCACTTTACTACAGAACCACCTAACAAAAATTAACCTAAATCTTTTAAAGTATGTTTCCTACAGTTTTTTT